AAGTTACTGGGCGTAGGGCTTTTTTAAAACACCTCCTTTCTGGGATAAGTAGTAGATCCACTTAGCTACTTATACGTGTTAAACAAAAGCTGTATTTTATATATTTTTTATTATTATTATAAATATGTTTATTAGTTTTATTAATTAACAAAGCAAAATATACATTAACAATAATATTACAATGAATTTTTAGTAATCATGTGTATTGAATTCAGGATCCTGAGTGGAGTAAAAATATTATAGTTCCCCAGTTTTAATTCGGTTTTATGATAGTACCTCATTGCGTAAAAGTTAATTTCCTTAACAATAGATTACTGCGGCCGGTCCTGGCGGCTTGTTATAAAAATGAGTTCCTTGCCATAAATTAGAAAAATCAGCCGAGAACGCTAATAATCAGTTTATGGTAGATCAGGCCATAAGGGTTTTACCGGGAAAGTCGCTTCCGTAAATTTTAGTGGCGCTCCTATCGCCAAAGTACTGAACTAACGGCTCAAAATCTGTCGAATTGATACCTTAGATCATATAATAAATAGATACCAATACTCAAACTGAATGGTGTGACTAGACATGAAGCTATTTGTTGTCGTTTTCTACGTCAAGGGGAGTCGTATAATGCTATCCTTGTGTGATCACCACATCTTCATCTTTGTTATATGCATTTCATCTGTATATGTCTATTTCACTTCCATCCTTGTACCGCACCAGCGAAACAAATCGCTTTTGACAGATGTTTCTTCTAACCTCTCTTTCGAGTTGTTCTACAAAAAACAATTTTAGAATTTAGAACAAAGATCCTATTTTAAGTGTAATCATAACGGATCACAATTTCTGCCCAATAATTTACTGTTACTTTCGTTATCTACTGTGAATTATTTATAAAATCAATCTGTCAACATCTTTCGTACGAAGTTAGTTCAGACATACTTTCTAAAATTTAGGCGCGCAAAATTCAAATAGTGATCAGGCAAGGATAGCTTCATTGCAATCCCTCCATGCACAAGAGAGATATGTGACAGGAGGATGTCGTCACAGGCTCTCCTATGGAAAGAACACGGCGTAGTGGTATCTATTTATTATATGATCTAAGATTGATACCAATTTTTTTCAATAATTGTTAGTTTTTGTTAAAAACTCTGCTAACCAATAGACCATTAATTTTCCTCTGATATTCCTGTTAAAATTATTCTACGTATTTTGCATTAATTTGTGGTACATTTTGATTTTAATAAACACATTATTATTTAAACAAATTGTACCACTAACAAACATTTAATGACACTGCGGCCTGTAAAAAGTGATGTTCTATCCACGTGCGAATTTTTAAGCGATTGTATGATGGATATGACTCAAAAAACTTGAAAAGAAAACATACAATGGTGCTTTTTTTACGATATTTCTCAGCCATATTTTTTTAATTGATTGAACTGGTCTCTGCGCTCTAGAATATGAAAAAAGCTGCAGTTTGATGTAGATACATCTATATTAATATAGTTTTTTCATACAAAAAACCAAAAAAATGTTATACCTCGTCTAGCGAGTCCCCTTAAGCTGTAGTTGTTATTGAAGTTGGCACATGGGCAAAATGATCAACAATTAAAATTTTGTGGGGATGTCATCACATTTATGATGAGGATGATTATGCAAATTTTGGTTAGCGTTTTACCATCTACATGATATTCCTAAGATACATACAAAATTTGACAAGAATCAGTCCAGTAGTTTCGAAGATAATACGTCTAATAAAAATTGACACAGACGATAGATTGTTGTAAATTTTTATGTCAGTTATATCATGTAGATGGTCAAACCCTCACCAAAATTTGTCTAATCATCGCCACCAATACGATGACGTCATTTCAATATTGTACAAAGTAATCGGGATTTAAATTGTTTAAAATAACATAGTCTTACACATGTAGTTTATGATTCCGTGTTGAGTTTTTACCCAAAACGTCCAGATTTTTGGAAAAAAATCAAAATTATAAAACAACATTTTGCAATTTAATTTTGAATCTGCAAAACCGAATAGTTTGAAATTTTGCAGATGTTTTAAAGTTGTGATAAGTATGATAAATTTTTACTCAAAATATATTTGCTTATCTCCTTCAAAAAAATTATGACCCAAAATGTGCAAAACATGATGAGTTTTTGCTTGTGATTTATCATTCCATTAATATTTTTTGGATTTACTTCTACAGGTGACCCAAAAAAATTAATGAAGGCGTAATTAGGAACCGCAAAACGGAATGCTTTGAAATCTTAGAGATGTTTTAAAGTTATCATAAGCGTAAATTTTTGGTCAAAATGTATTTGCTCGTCACCCCTAAAAAATTGATGACGTCACCTCAAAATATTGCTGAATATACCCTATCTTAAATGTGCAAAATATGATGAGTTTTTACTTGTGATTTATCATTTTATTAAATTTTTTAGAATTGTTTATACGGGTGGATAGTAAAAATGAATGTGTCGATTTATTTAATTGATTAAATCAGGAACGGGTCACTCCATTTTCCCAGAAAATTTTGGGAATACAGTACTGTTATTTTTAGTATTATACTGCACTAATCCAAATTGATATACGTGTCCTTGCAAAAATGTTCCTGACAAAATTCTGTAAAGTAAAAATTCAACTCAAAAATGCTGGATTTCACTGTATTTTAGGTGCGAGAGAAGTTCTGTCGAAACATCTTTCGACCAATTTTTTCAATTTTTTTTCCAAGAATACTTAAATTATATACTGTATTTATTATTAACTGTTTATAAGCCGTTTTATTTAGTGTTTGATTCCGTCCACCTAATACCTAAATACTTGCTCTATCGTCGAAATAACCTCAAAGAAGGCAACAAAATCGCCAATACTTAATATCCCAGGGTATTCGCCAGCCGAGACTCGTTGCTACCAGGAAATCATAAAATTGAAAAACCTCTCCCGAAACCGAAATTTTCGTCGCCGCATTGTGACTCTAACCGCACCTTTCGAACACCCGCCATCAGGGCGACAGCAACGCAAAGAAGTATGCGAGCCTGTTTTAAATGAGGAATGTCAGCTGTCAACGCTGTATGACTGACAGAACTTGCCGTAGCAACGGGGTTTGTGTATCAGGATCTCAGGTCAGCGAGGAGGTCAACGACAAGTACACGCCATAGTTAATTTATGCAAAAATTATCGGAAATTAAGCAGGAAACTTGACAAAAGATCAGAAGGTTATAGGCGGTTAAGAATGTGACGAAGAGGGTGGGGATGAGATTAGGAGGATTGTTGGGTCGAAAGGAATTTCAAATATCTCGGTTGAAGTAAAGGGGTAAGACGATAGTGAATTCTAGGTGACAGGAGAGCAGGAAGCGGGACGTGTGTTGGAATGTTGGGTCAGGAAGAGGCGTGGGTTGCGATTGGTGGGGAAAACAGGAAAATTCGGGGAGAAAAATTAATTAACGGGTGTGTAAGACAAAAAGAGAATTGAAGAGGTGTGGATTTGTCGTGGTATGTAATGATGGGAATTAAAAACTGGGTTGTGACGGTTGTATTGTTGGTTGCATATAGTAAAAAAAAGAACCACTCTCTAGCAGACTCATAATGTTGAGAGTAGTTTTTTGCTACCCTTGAGAAGAGTACAGCTATAGATTTTAGTTTTTTGTCTTTGTCAGTCAGTTTTTCAGATAATAAAAATGCTTGGAGATAACTGGGGGGGACTCTCGTTGACATTGTGTGGGTGCTGCGAATTTTGTTCCTCGCTAAAACTTCAATTTGGTGAGTTCGTTCCTTATATTCAATTAATAAACATTAATATTAGATATTGCATGTTTCAACTGTTTTATCGCCTTGTGTTTTTGCTGACTGATAACGCATTTCTTTGTATTTATATATGTTGAGGATTAATAACGCATTTAACACATTTCTTGAAGGAGAAAAGGTTTAGCTGTAGAACCTTTCAGTGTAATCCTCAACATTAACCAATTCCCGAAAAAGGAACAAGCAATTGTTCTAGCTGCCCTTCAATTCCTCATAGCATTTTGGAGAAGCTTATTCAACCATTAGGTTTTACTATACATTGTCACATTATCTTTTATGAAAGCTAAAGATTCTAGCCACATTTTAAGTTTTCGTCGGCAGATACGGCAACCCAATGAATCTCTTGATCTTCCTGCCTTGATGGCCCTTAGGCCCTTAAACATGGCGAGATGACTCACGTGGGGATTTTCTGCTACAATTTAAACTTTACACAATTACATAGAATTAACTATATTACAGAAAAAATTTGGCAAATATCCATTATTTTGCACAGACCCTCTCACTTCAGAAACAAAATAGTGAAACAAATATTTTTCAACCTAGTGTATATTATTTAAAATCTGATAAAAGAAATACGGAATGTATTTTTAAAATTATAAGAGTAAAAGTTATTCTATATCATGACCAAAAATTACAACGAGTCCTGGTTCTACCATCGTATTTTCACTCTTCACTCATATGCGTGTTATCACTGGTATTTGCTCATTGATTAGAAAACGTTGCTATTACATACAACTCGCATTTTTTTCCACTATTATTACTTGCTCTACACCTTTTATTGCTCACACCTTATTATGTTATTTATCCTATATTACATATAGTTAACAGTTTATAATTATAACTTATAATTATTATATTATTATAAAAAAAATTAAAATCGCAAATTCATGTTTAATAATTTAACCAAAAAATACGACGTGTTACATTGTGGTGCACAGGGAAGGAGAGTTCTGTCCAACCAACTTAAATAATTAAAATACATATCATTTATATAAATGAGAACAATATTGGTCATAATACTGAACCTTGAAGCCAACGGATTTAAGTTGGAAACATTTTTTATATACATTTTTGTTGTAATTATAGCGAAGTAAAAAAATACTATTATATACACGATGATTTTACAACAAAGTGGTAAACACACTCAGAGATTCTTAACTACAGCGTTGTTTTTGGATTTGTGTCACACACACATTCGTCAACAAAATTTAACAATAATCATCTTTATTTATCACTTCATACAGTTTAGTTTCTAAGGTTAGAATTTTTTTGTAGAAACTAGGAATTTCCAGAGCATTAACAACTCTATAAAATTTTCGCGTAGTGAGAATCGAATGCCTTTCTACGAGGTAGTCTCTTGAGGCATTTCTTGACAACTCAACTAGACGAGGCACACGCGGATGAGTCTCCAATCGACTACGAATCCCTTTTAATTTAATTCTTCCAACGTATTCAGACAAATTCGATAAAAAGCGTATCAATTCAGGATGCGCCGAGTAATCTAGAAGGTCTTCCACAGACAACATTGTCTCCTGCAGATTTCGAAAAAACGTTTTCACATTTGTATTAACTTCACGGATTAATGCAACAACGGAATTTCTTTTTCTTAGAAAGAGTGCATGCTTTTTTCGTGAAAACGTCTTAAGTTCGAGATGCAAGAGAAGTTTGAACAGCGGACAGTAACCACACTCTTCAAAAATCGTATCAACGAAATACGAATCTGCCCTTAAACCTCGTGTTAACAGGTAGAAAATTTGGTCGTGTGCATTTACATTTGCTAGTGCCTCAAAAATTTTCGAGATGTCTAAACTTAAACAAAAATTGTGAATGTGGTGACGTAGTTCCTCCTTGTTTTCATAAAGATAGTCCAAATTTATCAAAACGTTGTGGTCTTCTAGTATAGTGTAAATTCCACTTTGCCATAGCCTCGCAAGATACGACCTATCCCGTTTCCGGTAATTAGGATTAAATATCTCATTGTTACATTTTTCAAAAACGTTGCGTATCATACCAGTATGTTTGTCTAGAAGTAGTTGTAAGTCAACTAGATCTATCGTCAGTACATCGTACAAGGTATTCCAAAATTCTCCTGAAGTATCGTTAATCAAAATTTCGACGTCATACGAAAGTATTTCATAGAAAAACGTCGACTTTTGTTTCCCGAGTGCCAGTAGAATATCAGACAAGATTTCCGAACGTAGCTCGTCATCGAATGTGTAGAAGAATAATATTTCTTGTAAGAAAACTGGATATTTATCTCTAATTGCAATTTCAAAAAGGTTGTATCCTCTGTAAAATTCGATCGACGGGTCTGCTTCATAGTACAATAACATACAAACAAATTCATAACGATTCTCAGGTTTCTCAAAAATTTTATATAGGGGTGTACGACCAGATCCATCTCTGATATTCGGATCAACCCCTGCTTCTAGTAAAAATTTTGTCAGATTCAAGCACGACTTGTCAACAGCCCAGTGTAAAAGATCCGATTCCAAGTTGTGTCCGTGTATTTGCACGCCGTCTTTTATAAGTTCGTGGATATAGTACTCATGCTCTTTGTCACTAAAATTTAGTATGTATCTTAAGGCTCTTTGCCTGCTGTCGGTGTCTTGGAATTGTAGCATAAACTGAAACATTTCTTTCCTGGAATTGAAAATGTTAGTGGATGGAACATTATTTTCAACACACTTACTGATTTTCTTGAAGAATGTGGCTGAGTAACAAATTAATAGAATCATTTTTTAGCCAGTGGAATTCTTCGGGAGAAATTTCCGCTAGTATTTTTAAGCCGGGGAGATTGTTGGTGCGTATGGTGCATACTATGTCTTCCTTTGTCTGAAAATATGATAATTATAATGATAATTATATTTAGGTAAATAATGGAAATTATGTACGTACGATAGGGGTTTGTTCGGTGACATCCATAATTAAAGTGAAAGATCTAAAACAGAGAAATTTTAACAAAATGATCTGCAAGAAGTTATTATTATTATTATTAGAACGGGAAAAAGCACGACGACACGAAGGCACAAGTAAGAGTGAAAGCTCCACTTGACTTTAGCTTGAGCGACAAGGACAGGTATAATTTGTTGGGCAGTGTTAAAACGGTTGGGCATTTCAACAAATCACGTGAAAATGACGCATTTTTTGCAACTCCATCTGTTCAGTAAACGGAGTACTATGATGCAGATGCTACTTCCAGTACTCCAATTATTGTTCCTTCACAAGCACGCCACTCATCCGCCATTGTTACATATGTTACACAGGCGTACTTTGCCCTTTGTCTCAAAAATAATTTCATCCAATTTTGAATTTCGCAGTATCCCCTCTTACCGGCACAAAGACAACCAGTAGTTTTTTTGCTAATGTGCCAATCCCGGTGTTACCCCTTCCTCCGCTCAAGCTCGTTTAATATAAAATACAAGTGCGCGCGTCGCCATAACAGCGAAGTACCAACAACGGAGCAATGAGTTATAGTTGTTAATAACTACAGTTAGTGCTGTGGTTAGATTGGTACCACGATTGTTAAACTAGTACGGTTTTACTGACCTGGTTATCCACGCAAAAGTGCTATCTCAAATCGATACTGCTGGTGGATAGTTGGTGTCAAAGAAAACGTAACTGGACACGGACTAGACCCGAATGAATTTTGAAGCTTACCTAAATGAAATTTCGTGTAAATTGTGTTGCCTAACTCAATGTGATTTTTAAATTCGTTTAACACTACGCTGTCTTCGCTGCTGTGCTTTCATAAAAACGTGTACGTTGGATCATCTAGAGTATTTATCGATCGCATCCCCTGTTAAGGGTCGGCCCTCGCGACATCTCTTCGGAACAAATGCAATTAATATAAGAAATTGCACTTACCGCCAAAAAAATTGATTGATTATTACTGTCTGACTGTCTGCATTATGACTAACATCATTTCAATTCAAGTTTATCTGGCCATCTTCAAGTTGATTCGGGCATCATTGCACTTCATATGGTGATATTTTTTCTGATGAACACAAATTCACTATTCACTTATTGTCACTTAAACACTGAAGAGTGGTTTTGAAAAATCTTTTGAAGTTCTGAAATTTCTCTTTCATTTAACGTTAGCTCCAAATCCGCCCCTGCTCGTGCTGTCGGGTCTTTTAAATAATTTGAAAGAATCTGGGGGATCTTTCTATTTATTGTTTTTGAAGCAAGGTGAAAGAATCTAGGGAATCCGTTGTTTTTGAAGTAGTCTGAAACATTTCGGGGATCCCTTTTGCTTTGTGTTTGAAATAAACTGAAAGAGTCTCGGGGACCCATTGTGCCTGGTTTTTGAAGTAGTTTAAAGTGGGATTTATAAACTTGTTGTTGGCGTTCAACGTTTGCTGTATTTAACGGGGTTGTAGAAGAAAAGTGGAGGATTTAAGTTGATTACTACAAAAATTGGCTATTTTAGACATGTTTTAAGTTGCTTGTTGTCGAAATAAGTCTACACATATTAAGAAAAAAGGGCAAAATGTAGCCCCGCCCACCCACCCTATCTCAGTTCTGATGATTTTTTTTATTCGTCGTGAGCCAAACGGGCGCAGCTTAAATTGTTGTGTTAACTTTCTCTACGAGAAAAAATAAACACATGTTTTTGAGTATCTTGTTGTTCAAAAAATACTATGTATATTAAGAAAAAAAAAATCAAAAAACCAAACCAAAGATTAAGCCCCACCCATACCCGCCCCGATCTCAGTTCCCAATTGTGATAAACTTTTCATTCGTTGTCAGCACGAGGGGCGGGGCTTAATTGCAAGATCCTTATTTGTCTACAAGAATTTACCATTCTAAACACGTTTTAAGGTTATTTAATTAAATTTTGCTAAATAAATCCTATCTAAAATGTACAAAACATGATGAGTCTCTTCTCGTAATTTATCATCCCATTCATATTTTTTGGATTCGGATGTATAGGGTGACTCAAAAAAATTAATGAATGCGCACATTTATTTTATTAATTTAATCAGGAACTACAAAACCGAATGCTTTGAAATCTTGGAAATGTTCTAAATTTATCATAAGCATAGTAAATGTTTGATCAAAATATATTTGCTCATCCCTCCTAAAAAATGGATAACGCCAACACAAAATTTTGCTGAATAAATCCTATCTAAATTGTATAACTTATGATGAGTCTCTTCTTGTGATTTATCATTCCATTCATGTTTTTTGGATTTGCATATACAGGATGACCCCAAAAATTAATGAATGCGTAAATTTATTTTATTGATTTAATCAGGAACTACAGAACCGAATGTTTTGGAATCTTGCATCTGTTTTAAGGTTATAAAAATCATAATAAATGTTTAGTCAAAATATATTTGCTTATCCCCTCCAAAAAACTGAGGACGTCAGCTCAAAAGTTTGCTGAATAATCCTGCTTAAAAGGTACAAAATATGATGCGTCTCTTCTTGTAATTTATCATTCCATTCATATTTTTTGGATTCGGATATATAGGGTGACTCAAAAAATTTAATCAGGAACTACAAAACCGAATGCTTTGAAATCTAATGTGAAAAAAAACCATAATAGGCATGCAGTCGTCACGTTTCCGATAGCGAGGGAAGTACTGTCTAAACTCCTTAGACCAATTTTTTTGATTTTCCCATTTCTCTATTTCTCAATTTTTGGGATTTTTTCATTGTTTCGATTCTTTAATTTTCCTTCCATTTTTAGGTTTTTCAATATTTCAGCTTTGGAATTTTGCAATATTTCCTTTCTTCAATTTTTAAAATTTTTGGTATTGTGTTTTCTCGGTTTTTAAATTTTTCGATATTTTAATTTTTCAGTTTTTGAAGTTTTAGGTTTTTAGATTTCTCACTATTTCGACTTTTTAAATTTTAGATTTTTTGTTTTCTTTGATATTTTGAGTTCTCGATCATTCGAGTTTGTGAGTTTGCAGGCTTTTTTGTTGTTGTTCAATTCTTGGATTTTTAAAATTTTTGTTTTTTAAATTTTCCTATTTATCAACTTACTGGGATTTCAATGTTGAACAAAATTGAACAATCAAAAAATCATGGTTATTCAATTTCTCGATTTTTTGAATTTTTAGTTTTTGATACGATTTTTTTTTCAAAAATTTTCAGTTTTTCAATTTATTAACTTTACGATGCTTCAGTTTTGCTCGATTTCCATTTCTCAATTTTTCGACATATTACTGTTGAGAATTTTCAATTTATCGATTTCTCGATTCTTCATATTTTCGGTTTCTCGAATTTCTTCATTTTTCGATTTCTCAATTTTCCGATGTTTCAGTTTTACGATTTTTAAATTTTTTTATTTTTCAGTTTTCAATTTTTGACGTTTCTAAATTTTTCGATTTCTCAATTTTTCGATTAACTGATTTTTTGATTTTTCCATTTCTCTATTTCTCGATTTTTCAATTCTTTCTTCAATTGTGATTTTTCAATTTTTCGATTTCTGAATTTTTCAGTGTTTCAGTTTTGGATTTTTTCACTTTTCCGATTCTTCAATTTTCTTTCCATTTTTCAGTTTTTCAAGATTTCAGTTTTGAATTTTTTCACTTTTTCGATTTTCCAATTTTCCTTCCATTTTTCAGTTTTTCAGTATTTCAGATCTGTGATTTTGCAATATTTCGGTTCTTCAATTTTTCCATTTTTTTGATGTTTTGATTTCTCGGTTTTTCAATTTTTCGATAGGTATTTTAATTTTTCAATTTTTAAGTTCTAGATTTTCCGTTGATTTTTTTGTTTTCCTTGATGTTTTGATTTCTCGATTATTCGATTTTTCAAGTTCTCGGTTTAGATTTTTTGGTTTTCCAATTCTTCGATTTTTAAATTGTTTAATTTTTAGATTGTTCAATTTCTCGATTTTTAGATTTTTCAATTTTTCGGTTTACCGAAAATTTAAAATGTTTCAATTTTTCAATTATTAACTTTTCAATTTTTCAATTTTCGTCTAATTTGATTTCTTAATTTTTTGATTTTTTGACTCCTCAACTGTTGATGTTTTGATTTCTCGATGTTTCAGTTTTTGAACATTCCGATGTTTCGATTTTTCGACTTTTTGGCTTTTCAAGTGTTCAATTTTTCGAATTTTTAAATTTTTGGTCTTTCTTTTCTTCTATTTCTCAATTTTTGGATTTTTTAAATTTTACATTTTTCGATTTTATTATTTTTTGATGCTTGGATTTCTCAATTTTTCAAGTTTTCAATACTCAATTTTTCAGGATTTGAATATTGAGAACTTTTCAATTTCTGGATTTTCAATTTTCAGATATTTTAATTTTTTTATTTTTTAATGTTTCGATTTTTGGGTGTTTTGATTTTTCGATTTTTAAAGTTTTTGATTTTTCGATTTTTCCGATTTGTTGTCTATTTTAAGTATATTTCATTTTTCAGTTTGCGCCTTCAGCAGGAGTATTATTTGTTCTGCACTTGACGGGCGAGGGAAGTTCTGTCGAAATAACCTTCGACCAATTTTTATATTTAGGGATCTTACTAAGCATTTCTTATGTAACCGAACAGTTATTAATTTAACTAAGCAGCTATTATTTCATCAAGCATATATTATTTTTACTGAGAATTTATTTTTTAACTGAGCATTTATTATATAACTTAACATTTATCATTTTTACCGAGCAAAAATACAGAGCGTTTAAAAATAGAACTGTGCATTTAATTTGTTGCCTTATCTAAATAACAAGAAAACGGTATTAATAATACATTTACATTTTTTTATTCTGAAAAGACGACTACGTATATTAAGAAAAAAGGAAAAATGTAAGCCCGCCCACCCGCCCTATCTCAATTGTGATGATTTTTTTTAATCGTCGAGAGTCGAGTGAGCGAAATTTAACTGCAAAATCCTTATTATTTCTGTATAAGAAATTACCATATAAGACATGTTTTTGAGTACCTATCGTGTTATTAAAAAAACACTATGTACATATATTAAGAAAAAATTAAAGCCAAAGATTAAGCCCCACCCATACCTGCCTTGATCTAATGAGTAATGAAGTAATTGCCAAATCCGTATTTCCTCACAAAAATTTACCATTTTAAATGTGTTTTAAGTTTCTAAGATTAAAAAAAATCGTCACAATTGAGAAGGGGTGGGTGGGCAGGGTTTATATTTTGTTTACGCCCAGGAAGTATTGTAATCGAGTCCGTCGGCCGACTCTCTACTTTTACGTTTTCTCGACCTTTCACGACAACACGATTAGGCAAAATCGATACTTTCTCACAACTACTACTTTGTTTTTGAAGTAGTTTGACCGAATTTCTCTGTCCCGTGGTGCAAACATCACCGGTATAAACACACTCAGATTTTTTTAACTTAATAGTAAACATCTTTATTTTTCGATTTAATACAGTTTAGTTTCTAATGTGATAATGTTCTTGTAGATCCTACTAATTGGTAGGGCATTAACAATACTGTAAAACTGTCTCGTACTGCCAACAGTGAATGTTTTTACGAGATACTTTCGGAAGACATTTCTTGACAACTCAACTAGGCGAGGTACTCGCGGGTGACCTTCTAATTGTCTCGAAATCTCTTCTGATAATTTACCTTCTGTGGATAACTTCAACAAACAGTGCATCAGCTCCGGATGCGCAAAGTAATTCAAGAGATCTTCGACGTTCCGCGCTGTATCATCCAGATTTCGAAAAAATATTTCCAAATCTGTATCAACGTCCCAGATTAATTTCACAACGGCATTTTTCCTTTTGGTCACAAAGCCTGCTTTCCTTTGTTTGAGCTCTTGAGGCTTGATATGTAACAGAAGTTTGAATAATGGACAGTAACCAAACTTTTCGAAAGTCGTATCTACAAGATCTAAATTTGTTGTTAAACCACGTGTTAACAAGTAGAAAATTAGTTTGTGTGCCTCCAAATGAGTTATTAGTGAATTAAAAACTCTCAAACTGTCTAGATTTGTACAAAAATTTTGAATGTGATGACGGAGTCCCTCACTGCTTTCATAAAGATAGTCCAGATTTGTGATAATGTTGGGGTCTCCTAGCATGGGATACATTTCATCTTTCCAAACATAAGACAAAACGTTTAAAGAGTCACACAAGATATCAGTACTACATTTTTCAAAAATTTCGCATGCCATAGAACTATGTCTCTTTAAAAGTAGTTGCAACTCATGTAGATCTATCGTCAGTAGGTCGTATAAAGTCCTACAAAATTCCTTTGGAGTATCGTTAACAACGACTTCTACGTCATTCGAAAGTATCTCATAGAAGAGTGTCGACTTTTCCTTCGCAAGTTCTAGCAGAATGTTAGAAAAGATTGTCAAATGTGTGTGTTTATCGAACGTGTAGTGGAGTATTTCTTGCAACAAAAAAGGATGTTTTTCCTGGAGTGCAAGTTCAAAAGCATTGTATCCTTTGTGAGTTTGAATCGAAGGATCCGCTCCATAGTACAACAACATAGAAACAAATTCACAACGGTCCTCATTTGAACATTTAAGCAAAATGTTATGTAAAGGTGTATTGTCAAATTTATCTCTGAGATTCGGATCAACCCCTGATTCTAGCAAAAATTTTGTCAAATTCAGCCACGATTTTCCAATAGCCCACTGTAAAAGACTATCAAATTTGTACTGTTCATGTATTAACAAGCGGTCTTTTAATAGCTCGTAGACATAGTACTCATGGTCGTTGCTACTAAAATCCAGCATACATTTTAAACCTATTTTCCGGTTGTTGGTGTCTTGATACTCTAGTATATATAGAAACATTTCTCTTCTGGAATTGAAAAGTTAAGTTGAGTGGAACATTATTTTCAATACACTTACTGATTTTCTCGAATAATTTCGTGCAGTAACAACAAACCAAGATCATTTTGGAGCCAGCGAAATTTTTCGGGAGAAATGTCCACAAGTTTTTTAAAAACGTCGAAATTGTTGCTACGTATAGTCTGTATTATCTCCGACGTTATCTGAAGGTGCGATAATTATTTTTAGATAAACATTGAAATTACGTACGTACGGTGTTTTCTTCAGAGTGACTGTCCATAATTAAAGTGTAAAATCTACAACAAAGAAATGATGAATAAATCACACGAGTGCAACACGATCGATCAGGTAGAAAGACCGATACGAACTAGTGATAGTGCACAAATATGTTATCACTGGGTTATCTTTTAGTTAGCAAAAATGCGTCCACTCGGCGAACGACTATTCTCATGTTTTTTGAACGTTTACTATTAGCATTTGTAACGCCTCTGGTGAAGACTTGTGTCAATTTCGGTCTGCTCTCCCCTACTACAGACCAATAGCAGCTAATGGCTAGCAATTCATCTGCGTCAACTTACCAATTATATCTGCAGCCACATTTCATCAGGAATGCTTGGTATTTTTATTTCGCATGAAAGAGGTTAGTTCTGCTTTGACAGCCGCAGTTTGTTGACATTGGGATCTACCAGCGTACGATCCGTGTGGTGCTGCCATTGAAGTTAAGATCATTGTGCGCACGCATGCACGCCTAAGTTAATAACACTCCCAGTGTTGTCAGATGTAGCGGAATTCCTCTATCGTTAGCGGAATTTCACAATTTCGCTCTGGCAACACTAGACACTCCATAAAAATTCAAAGACGCGAGATCCCTGAATTTTAGGACGATAAGTTTTTGCTCCAAATTTCAAAACCGAAAAATCAAACAAATAAATAAAGTAATAAACCATATTAATTAACACTGGAACGCTAGACGATAGGTAGGCAATATTTCTAACTGCAATTTGTCTTTTTTTAAGAAACCCCTCGAAGCGGCGTCGCAATGGATTCCAGAAAGACCTCGATTGCGAAACATCGAGAACGGAATATAGGTTTAAATGGAGGCCACCTTTGGGAACGAGATTATTCACTCATCAAGTCGAGTCCAGTGAGTGTCGAGAAAATCCAGACAAGTTGTGCCGGAATTCTTTTGTACATAATCGCTGATAGTTAGTTGTGTAAATTGGAGTTATTAAAAATTAAAACTGTTAATAAAATTTAATACTTTTTTGTTCGTAAGTAAATAGGTATACTTTTAATTGGCAGAGATTCTTTTATTTTTCTTCTTCGCATCTACGCAACTCATTAGAACATTCACTAGTAATAAATTATCTGTTAAAGAAAGATCTATGTATTATGGTACCCAGCAGCGAGGAGTATTAGACTGCTTCGTCTCCTCACTGCGGGTTTCCATAATCCGTAAACACTTAGATACAATAAAGTGGACAAGGATAAAAGTTTCATAGAAAATTTTGGATTCAAAACGAAAACTTTTTGAGATAACATTTTAAACCAAATAGTGAAGTAATTTTTTTTTATAATGAGTTTTTATTTAATAAACTAGCTGACCCGGTGAACTTCGTTTCACCTACAATTTAATTTTTAATCTGCAAAACCGAATGCTTTGAAAACTTGCAGATGTGTTAAACATATGATAAGCATAATAAAGTTTTATTCAAAATAATACTTACTTCCTCCAAAAAATTGATGCCGTCAGCCCAAAATTTTGCCAAATGAATCCTTTTTAAAATATCCAAAATAGGATGAGATTATACTTGTGATATATCATTCCATTCAAATTTTTTAGTTTTGCTTATGGGGGGTGTCTCAAAAAAAATTAATCACTGAGTCAATTTATTTTATTGATTGAATCAAGAATTGCAAAACTAAATTTTTAGATTTATTGCAGACGTTACTGTTTGACATGGTACGTTTTTAATTAAAATATATCTGTTTATCAAGCCCAAAACTTGATGACGTCATCTCAAGATTTTGCCGAATAAATCCTATCTAAAATGTGCAAAATATCATCAGTATATTTTCGTAAATTTATCATTGCATTCATATTTTTTAGATTTGCTTTTACAGTGACAAAAAAATGTATGGATCAGTCAATTTATTTTAGAAAATAACTCAAGAGTTGCAGAAATGACATAATTAATATAATGCATAATGTTTAAATATGATAACTATTAATATGTGATAATTAAACCGAAAACCATTTTCCTAAGAACACGAGTTTAGCAAAAACAAATTAGTTTGTTTAAACATTATTAAATTAACCCCGAACATGTACAATTTCTGAGCGAAAATATGAAAAATAATTTTTGCAATCTCATCTTGACGTACGATGACGCCACTGTCACGTGAGCCACCTGATAAAAGGTCACATTTTTCGGTCCTCTGCGTTTAGTTTTGATTTCGGTTTGGTGGCAGCAACATCAGAGTCCGTTTTGACTTAAAAGTAGGGCTCTCTTCACGAATTTCTAATTTATATATTTAAATATTAGTGAAAATGTGTTGTATTAGTACTGTGAACATGAACGAAAATGGATATTTTTTCGAAAAGGACCGAAAACAGGGTAAGTTCGAGTTCAGTTTTAATTTATCGGATTCCGTGATTCGTTCACTCGACAATATTTAAATTTTGGGAAAATTTTCGAAACGATTGAAATCGGTTGATCAAAGCTATACATTTTCACGACATAAATAAATACATTTTAAACATAATTAATATCATTTATAATGTTTAAATAATAAATATGATAAGCATCAATGTATGATAATTAAACCGAAACCCATTGTCCTACAAGCCCGAAATTATTAAAAACAAATCAATTTGTTTAAACAATGTTAAATTATCCCCGAAAATGTGCATTTTCTCGGCCAAAATATGAAAAATAAATTTTGCAATCTCATCGTGACGTACGATGACGTCAATGTCAGCTACTTGTATAAAGGTCACGTGTTTCGGTCCTTTGTGTTCAGTATTAATTTCTGTTTGATGGCGGCAAGATCGTCGCTTCATTTCGGCGTAAAAGTGGAGCGTTTTAGCGAATTTCTAGTTTATTATTAATACATATTACGGAAAATATGTTGTGTTAGTGCTGTGAACACGAACGAAAATGGATATTTTTCCGGAAAGGATCGAAAACAGGGTAAATACGACTTCAGTTTTAATTTATCGGATTCCGTGATTCGTTTGGTCGACAATGTTTATATTTTGGATAAATTTTCGAAACGATTGAAGTTGGTGAGTCAAAGCTATACATTTTCGCGATATAATTAAATAAAATTTAAACATAATTAATACAATTCTAAATGTTCAAATATGATAACTATCAATATATGATAATTAAACCGAAATCCGTTTTCCTAAGAACACGAGGTTGGTAAAAACAAATTAGTTTATTTAAACGTTGTTAAATTAACCTCGAAAATGTACAATTTCTGATCTAAAATATGAAGAATAATTTTTGCAATCTCATCGTGACGTACGATGATGTCACTGTCAGGTGAGCTACCTGATAAAAGGTCACATTTTCGATCCTTTCTGTTCAGTTTTGATTCCGGTCTGGTTGCAGCAACATTCGAGCTTCGTTTTGGGTTAAAAGTAGCACGTGTTCGCGAATTTCTAATTTATTGTTAATAAATATTAGCGAAAATGTTTTGTGTTAAGTGTTGTGAACACGAAGGAAAGTGGATATTTTTCCAAAAATGCCCGATTTTTTTTAAATATGTTGTTAATAACATGCATTCAGGACTGATAAAGTACGCCTTTAGAATATTTTATTTTATTTTTATTCATTTACGTCCCCCAACAGGCACCTAGGCCCAATTACAGGGGAACGGGACATACACGTTACACCCAGAGCCATGGCGGGAATCGAACCCACGACCCAAGGTGTAGCGGGCAAGCATGATGCTAACTAGCCCACCCCGGGTTCATAATTCGCAAAATACCGTATTCATCATTTTTAAAGTACGGCGTCCAAATTTACAAAATACGGTGTCCTTCACCCATGCTATCAAACCTTAGTCTTCTCTTTTAATGGCAAGACGCACTCCAGACCTCCTCGTATTGTTTGGTTCTTGCTGGGCAACAGCAACGAGCGAGCAAAGTCATCGCTCTTTGGTGGCAAACGTGGAGAAATTTGGATATTATAACTTTTGTAATTGAAGCATTTTCTACTGTATATTGTATGTATTACTAACTTAACTTGGGTCTTGCCAATTTAGCTCCAGTGGTGCAAATGCTTTGTTTTCATGGTGCATTTGTTTGGGTTTTAATTTTGCAACAGTGCATTCTTTGGTTCAGAGTCTGAATTCTCCATGTCGTCAGACGCTTTGGCCTGGGGGGGTTCTGTTGGCCCTTAGACGCTGGGTCGCATCTCCTATAAGGATGAGGTCAGTCGGCCTTGGATTTATGCGGCTGCATTCTCCCTTGGGCGTGTGAGCGCTGCGACCAATAGATTTCGTTCCGAGTTCCATGGGTGTGCTTGCTTGGGTTTTCATTTTGCAACATTCTCAATTTTTGGTGCAATTTCTTCCGGTGGTGTATTGGCTACTAACTTTGCATTTGTATTGTATCTGAATTGTATCTGTATCTGTAGTGTATTCTGTATTGTAGTTAGATTGTAGGTACCTGTATTGTATTTCCATTGTATTGTACTGTATAACGTTCTATCCCTCATTAACAAATCCTAGCCCTCTCCTTTCCTAGCGAGATCTGCTCCAGACCTTCCCGTGGTTCTTGCTGAGCATCAACTATCGAGGACAGAAAATTCAAATTCAAAACCAGCAAAGTTTCACAAAAATCTTGAAAATCGCTCGTTGGTGGCCAACGTGGAGCAAAAGAGACTTTTGTAACTCAACTAACTTTGTTAACTTTGTATTCTTAAGGAAACAAAAATATATTACATTTAATTTATTATTTATAAGGACAAATAGTCATTTGCCACACCGATGCTCATTTTTAGATTAAATGCTCACAAAACGCGTAGATGTTCAATTTGTGTCCGGGGAGATACAATGTTTGCAAGTAGGTACTTCGTACTTCGAATATGAGTATCTACTCAGTTTTATTCATACCACCCAATGTCTCGCTTCAATGTTTGACTATTATGCTGATTATGAGCACAACGCTGATCAACTTCCGTATCCGAATTACCCATGAAATAAATCATTGCGATTTGCACCTGAGGTAGTTCGTCGCACATTTGATTGACTTCGTGGACGTATGCCAGCTTGTCGTCTTCTTGGCATAAAACGACACAGAATTATTTTCACCGTCAATCAAATCTGTAAATTTTGTCTTGAGAATTTTAAAATATTGAAAATTTCAAATTAAATCCTCGAATAACGGTAAAGTTTGAGGTTTTGTCGAAACCAACAAAGTGAATATACGTAAATAGAATGGCAGATCAAAATTAATAAGAAACTTTCCCAATGCGTAACTAAATTCACTTTAACGAACACTTTTCTTAAAATAAACGACGTTTCTTGTTACGAAAAAACAAACTACGACTTGAAATGCACGTCAGTTAGGCGACAGGTCCGTCAGAAACGCTAACTATTCAAATTCATTCGAAGTGGCGATTCCCATGCAAAATTTTTATTTTTTTTAAATCTTTTAGCCGTCTTATTTTTTATAAATTTTCTTACATATAAACCTTGTCCTGACGATAAGGAACACGTAAAAAAAAGAATCGTCCAATTCGGTGCAGCCGTTCTGAAGTTATGAGCGTACATACATTTCGGCGATTCATTTTTATTAATATAGATTTATTACGGATAGATTTCAGATCTTCTGTCTGTCTCTCTGTCTGTCTGTATCCACTTTTATTAGACACATAATCTCCGAAACTGCTGGACAGATTGGTGTCAAATTTTGAATGTAAGTATATTAGAAATACCATGTAGATGGCTAAATGCTCACCAAAATGTGACTAATCATCCCCACCAACAATTTGATGACGTCATTTCAATGAATGGTATTCTAAAATGATTTGACTGTTACACAAAAATATACTCATATACTTGTAGTGGACGAATCCACTTTCAGTTTCAGGTTCAAATTTTCGGTATAATAAGGTTTATTCCCGACACGATTTGAATGTCTCTGACTACACATTACCATGTGCAGTTTCGGCCACAAAATCTTGCGCAGTTCTGTCATTCAAGTAACATAAGCTCTAAAACAGGCTCTACGTAATTA